CTCTTGCTTCTAGCTGCTGGGTGAGGAGGGAAGCCTTAGGTGTTCACCAGGGTAGGGTCGCTCAGGTGGCTGGGTCGTGATGCTGTATGTGGGGGTGGGGTAAGAGCCGGGAAATGGTGGCCGTCTCTGCTGCCTCCCGTGGCTGGGATCCGCTGGGTCCCATCTCACTGCCCACTCCCTCACCAGTCTATCTTCGCAGGAATGTGCCCAACCCGCCGCACTGCACCCTCACCAGATCCTCCGGTTGCTCACTGGGTTGTGCTCACTAGATGACTCACTGGGTCGGCCCTTTGCAACCCCACACCTGGGATCCGTGCACCTGAGTCCATCTGACCGAGTTTTCCTGTGCAACCCTGCTCCTCCAGCTGCTGGTTTCGCCCCTCTTACCAGTCAGACTGAAGAATTCGTTGTTATCGGACTTCCAAAAAGTTCAATTTTCTGTGTCCTGGCTGTGTTTTCTATTGCTAATATTTTGTTGTCTCTAAACTTGGTTGTGTGAGAAAGCACGGCGTATCCACCTATGCCTCCATCTTGGCGGAAGTCAGTTTTCAATAATTTTAAGATAAAAAATCAACTCAAAGAATAATTTTTTAGTATAGAATTAAAACCAAATATAATCACTGCCACCATAATAACTTTGAAATAACTTTGCTGATGACCTTTGTTTAGTGTGACCTCTGCTTGCAGTCACCAAAGGAATGTATGCTAAGAAAAAGAAGATTTAAGACCTTTTTTTAGACAGTGAAGCAAGCGTCTACAAAAGTACCAATTAAAAATATATTTTAGCTCTGGCTGGTGTAGCTCAGTGGATTGAGCGGGGGCCTGTGAACCAGACAATCGAGGTTCGATTCCCAGTCAGGGCACATGCCTGGGTTGCAGGCCAGTTCTCTGCAGGCCAATTCCCAGCAGGGGACACACGAAAGGCAACCATACATTGATGTTTCTCTCCCTCTCTCCTTTCCCTTCCCCTCTAAAAGATAAATAAATAAAATCTTTAAATATATATATAGAGAGAGATAAATATTTTAGAGTAAGTGCAGTTTATAATGAACATTTATAAGGAACAATACATTTATAAATAAATGAATAATTTATACCACCCTAAATATCATCAGATTCACAACGGAAAAAAAATAAATTTTAAAGAGTTTCTATAAAAACAAGGTCTTTGTTCCAAAATAAAAACAACCCAGCACACCGGGAAATAATTCTGTAGTTCTTTGATTGTGAATCTGAAGAATCATCACCAGTGTTTTGGGCATGACTGACAGTCTCACCACATATTGATGGTTCACAGAGAGCCCCAGAAGGCATGGCTTTTCACTTGGGCTTCTGGATTCCTGCCTCAGGCACTTGGGTCAGACTTAAGTGTGGGTACTTCTTATCTTGTTTTGAGTCTGTGATGTGATGTAATGTGATGTGATATAAAGAGGAGCCCTTCTCTTAGGGACCCCTAGAACTAATGGCTTACCAACATGCAGCCCACACTGTTCCATGAGGCAGTGTCAAGGCTGAACCTGAAGCCAAGTCAGTCTTACACAGCTTTTTGCCTCTGCCTGTGGCCATCCTTAACAACTCAACCCCTCCCTAACTGTTCACATTTATCTCTAGTTCCTAAACTGCTTTCTCTCTGGACCTGTGGATGTGCCAGTGTGGTCTGTATGGGGTGTGTGTGGCGTGTGGTGAGCTGGTGGATGGATGGATGGGCGAGTGGGGTGTTGGAAATGAATATTGCCTTTGAAACCTGCCAAACACCACACAGAAAAAATTGTGCGCCTGAAACCTGTATAGTTTTGTTAACCAGTGTCACCCAATAAATTCGATAAAAAGGAAAAAAGAAAAGGAAGAAACCTGCCAAAGACCAAAAACAGCCCCCAAAGGCCTTTAGGGTCCTAGCCAACTTGGATTTTCAGGCAATAGAATTTGAAGGTGGGCAGCAGCATGGTCAATACTTTGCATTTCTATCTGCCTTTCAGTTCCAAATTTAAAATAGTTCCAACATGGAATTGTAATTAAAATATTCACTGTTCTTTGTTGCTGGATTTTCCTTCTAAGTCTCTCAAGAACATATTTTCTTGTTCTTTCCCTTCCATGTCACCAAAAGTAAAAGCCAAATGCCAGGTGTGGTGAGAGGGTACAAAGGTATTACAATGAGGTCCTCAAACATCAATACAAACCTGGAGGCGGTGTGTGTCCAGCTTTCTTCATATGCATAACCCAATACTGTCATCAGCCACAGACTCAAGTGATGGCGTGAGAGATAGCAAACCTGCTCTGAGCTTTGAATTCTACTGCTGCTCAGGAATTGCATCCATTTTAAAATTGTATATCCCTCATTAATTTAAATTACAATGCACTGTTATAAGAGCTTGATGCTGCTAAAAGATCAAAACCCACCAGACTTCCATATTATCATTTCCAGTTTCATGTAATTGAATTGAGTTGAAACGTTTTTGAATAATAAATCTTTAATATTCTAATATTGTCTGTAGGCAAGTATTTCTATAGAAGAATGAAATCTATACTTACACAACATATGCATTTTCCAGGAAATTGAAAAACATTTTGTGGTTTCCTTAATTTAAAAATAAATTTAAATAAAAGAGAATAATAATAATAATTTCTTTCCCTAACTCTAAGCATTTAGATTTTACAACTGATATATAATGATATTAAAGATGGCCCCTTACCAAAAGCTATTTACAAATCAACATAAGGACCAAATTAAGATTTTTTTTTCCGTTTTGTGATTATTCAAGAAAATATGTTCATGGTTTTAAACTCAACGTGGGCAATGTGGACATGTACACCAACAGAGGGCCACATGATCATGTAAGTCACACACATGCATGAGAGATTGTCCTTTAGCATCTGCTCTTTGCTGTATAATTTCAAACTTCTCCAGGGCAACCTGAGCTTACATTCCCGTGACTCCATGTTCACCACTGAGGGGCCTGATGACAGCACAGGGCATTATCTAGCCATGTATCAAACCCCAGGTCACTGCAGTCCTTTAACTGAGTCATGACAAAGTGAACCTAAGCCCCAGAAGGCTCTACACAGACCCAGCTTTTCGACTATTTAAGTAGCTGCTGCTGACACGGAACAACCTTACACCAACAATGGACCAGCAGGGCAAATTTGTTTTAGTGATTCATTATTACTCAGCCACGACTGACCTTTAGAACTGGATGTCTGCCTTCAGTCTTCATAAAGCAACAGCAAAGCACTTCAGCCAAGTTGAATGATTTGTTTAATGAAAACTTTAAAGGCAAAAGCTTTAAGAATTTTTCCTACATTTTGAAAGCTGCCCTCTTCATTTATCATGGCAGGTATTGAAAGCTTCACCAAGGTTGATTTATCTATTTTAAATGTAGTCTTTTTTTTTTTGAGATAGCAATTATACTAACACACTAGAAGTGATATATTCTGGTACCACCACTTAACCTCAAAGTTGTCAAGGATTTTTGTTTGACTTTGTTTTTTGTCTGTTTGTTTATTTTGTTTTTGGCTCTTGGTTGTATATTTTAAAGACAAAATATAAGAAGAATATACATTTCATTTTATAACAATTTAAATCAGATGTGCCTATTTTAAAATGCTCATCTACATCCCTTTTGTAAACTATATTAATCAAGTTTCAAGATAAATTAAAAAGCAGGCTTTGAGCCCCATTTTTAACACTGATGATCACATTCTTTTGTCTATACTTTTTAGATAGTTAAAGATAATCCACAAAAACTGTTTCTTTTATCACTTTGGTTCCAAAATTACAAGGTAGAACATTTTACCTAAAGATGTGATCTGCTGAATTTTTCAACTGGGTCTATAGCCAGTATGTACAGACCAGGTGTCTTGCAGTTTTCTCAATTGACAATAGATTTGTGTCTCATATCTTTTTAAATAAAAAGTCATGCCTTGGAGTGTCCAGACTGAAATAATGCATCTCTAACCCATCCCCCTGGTTGGGAGAAAATCTGCCCTGCCGGCACTGTGATAGCCTCCAGGTTCCTAAAGGCAGGACAGAAGAGTGGGGCAGGGCACTCAGTAGTTCTCGATATTTGTTACTTAAATATCACAAAATATTTGCATAAGGGAGGAATGTTATAAAGCACATCGGACATGATTTTATAATTCTTTGTGTTGGAAGAAAAATCTTTCCAGACTGTGACTCCAGATGCCACCAACTCAGCCCTCTTCATTTGTTTAACTGGGAGACTGGGAGTGGAGGGCCTGTCCCAAATTCTCCTCCTGCTGCTGTAAACCAAAACCTTTAGGTATGGAATGAAAGACAGGCACCAAAGAAGGTTTTTCAGGAACATGTATAAAGGAAACCTGTGCAAAATCAAAGAGGGGTAGGATCAAGGGTGGGAAGTGGGGATTGCTGCTGGGGGGGGGGGGGAAATAGAGACAACTGTACTTTAGCAATAATTTTTTAAATGTTGTGTTTTCTTTAATGTTTCTTTTCTTTAAGAAAAGAAAACCTTGCTTCCTAAGAAAGTACAGACTGTCTTACATAAAACAAGATAGCATATGGCCTGCGATGACCAGGAGCTGAAAATTCTTGCTGTGGGGAAATGAAACCACCCACCCGGCTGTCTGGGGCAAACACAGCACAAGTAGTGGCACTACCTTCATTTTGCATCACAGGGGCTGTCCAGTTCTTCCAAGTGTGTTCACTGTGTTCTAGGTAGGCCTGACCCACAGTTGCCAGGTATAGGGGCCCATGTCAGAGAAGCACTGGCCAAACGCATGGCAAAGCGAGGCAGTGAAGACATGCCAAAGAATTGGGACCAAAGGAAACCAGGACAGAGTGAGGTCACCGTTTTTAAACCTTCTCCCAACTGATTCGCAAAGGTCATGTTTGTGGTGCCTTGTCCCCGCTGCCAGACAAGGTGTCTGCGAAGGGGAGCGCACCTCCTGGCCTGCAGGACGACCCACCCATAGTAGGCCAGCCTACACCCAAGCCTCCCCACCCGGCAGCCCGCGCCTGCACCCACCTTTACGATGTAGGTGACCCCAGCCCCCAGCACCTGGTCGCTGGTGGGGCCTATGCGGGGTGGCTGCTCCTCACCCAGCCCGCCCTTCCTGGCGGTGCGCATGGCCGGGGCACGGGGGCCGGGAGGCTCGCTGCTGTCCTGGGAGGCCAGGCTGGGCGCGCTGCAGCTGCCTGAGAGGCGCGCGCTCGCCCGCTCCCTGGCCACAGACAGGCCGCGGAGACCCGAGCTGGAGAGTTTTAGGTGGGACACCTTGTGAAGCAGGTGACCCAGGCTACCCGAGCCATCATCAGGAGCCCTGCGCACCGCGTCTCCAGACACCAGGTAAGGGGCCGCTGCTGGGGCTGCGCGCGCCGCCGAGACTTTGCCGCCGTGGTTCACCGGGTTCACCGACAGGTTGTGCAGAAGGTCATCGACCGATGTCACCGAGTCATTCCTGAAGCGGTTGTACTTGGTGCGTGGAAGCATGCCCTTCCGTGGGCTCGCCACATACGTCCGGGCGCTGCAGGTGCGGGCGCGGGATGCCGCGCATAGCAGGCGAGCCCCGGTCCCCGGGGCAGATTCGGGGGCCTGGACAGCGACCAGGCTGGGGGAGCGGGCGGGGACGCCAATCTCCCACCGCTAACACCCCGAGCTGCAGCAGCCACGCAGTCCTTTCCCAGGACGCGGCTGCTGAGGGCGGCAGGCTAGCTTAGCAAAAGTCATAGTTTCTCTCCGATGAGCGCCCAGCTGCTGCTTAGGGCTGCTCACAGCAAAAGCATGACTCACTCTAAGAGGAGACCCTTTTCAACAAAGGCTCGGTGAGCGCTGCAAATCACTTCCTGTAGCAAAAAAAAAAGGGGGGGGGGACAAAACCACATACACCATACACCCACTAACAGCACACTAGAGCCAATCTATTCTCAAATTTCTCTTTTTCTACCTTCCCAGCTATTTCTTCCCAACCTTTCATTTTTCACCTCCTTGTACCAGAGGTAAATCCAATTTCTTCAGATAATCAGAAGAACTTTCTGAAACCCATTATTCTATGCTAGGGTTTTCTCTTCCTTGTCAGCCCGTCTGCGTGAGCCTTTAAGTATCTGACAACGATGCGTTAAAATGTGACGAAGGCTTTTTAAGACTACAATCTCCAGCGGATCCTCATGAATTCTGATTTCAAAGGCAAGCAGGGATTGTTAAATAACATAAAAAAGAAGAAAATATTCACTCCCAGGTGAACATAAAATACCACTTTCCTAGGTTTTTTTTTTCCTTTTCGAATCAACAAAGCAGCCATGACAAGTGTCTTTGTGGCAATGCAGTTTCTCAAAAAAAAAAACAAAAAAACAAAAACACCCTACATATGGACTTCTGCACAGAACCAGTTAGGGTCTCCCCCTGGTAATTTTTAGCAGTCTTTCTTAGTCACGGGTAAGTTGAAAACCTAATTCCAAAAAAGAGAGAAGAACGGCAACAGGATCCAGAAATCCATTCCAAAACAGGGGCTGTTGGAAGCTTTATTCCAAATGAATGTGTTCAAGCTCTGAAAAAATGCTAAGAAATGTTACAAGTACATGTCTATGTCCTTTCAGTTACTGCTTGCAGACCTACAGTGAAGCGGGTGGGGGGAATGCAGCTGCTCTCATTACACATCAAATCCGCAGGAAAAAAAAAAAAAAACGCTGTCTTTTCAGGAGTCAGACAGGCTGTCAGAGAACCGCACAGGTCTGCTTCCTCTCAGAACAGGGCATTGGCAGCCCTCAGAAGGTCTTCAAGGCCCAGACCCACGACCTTTGTCAACATGGGCTATCTACCACCTTCATCATGCACTGAGATAGCTGGCCTAATACAAGGACTCGCCCTCTGTCCAAGTTTCCAGCCATCTCTGTGCAAGCAAATGAATTTACCTCTAACTCATTATTAGGTCATCCTGAGTCTTCTGACAACCACGACTAGACATGTGACACATGAGGCACCAAGCCTTGAAGAGGTATATGGAGCAGCTGTAAGCAGTGTCACTCAGAGAGGGCCAGCTGCTGGATGCAAGATGGCAGGGGAGCAGCGGCTACCAGCCCAAGGCGCAGTCCTAGGAGGGCAGCCTCCCAGCTCTCATCTTTTCCCTTCCCTTTTGCTTGCATAGCAACAGCAAATGTACACTTCCTAGATGATTGGGATGGTTACCAAAGCCCCCTCAAATCTAAAATGAAAATGCCCTATCATTCCCAAACTGGGATCTTCAGACAAAAACAGCAAACTATGAATGAAATGCTGTTTGTGTGAATGAAAGGGCCAGCGAAGGAGCCAGCGTTTCTGTGAATGAAACGGGGCCTTGCAGCCAGCGCCAGGCAATCCCCTGGTTCCAGCGGCCGCAGCCAATGAGCAGCCGCCGCGATGACTCATTCAACAAAGCCTTGCTCAATAGTGGAAGGTTCCATTTCAATCAAAGGCGGGATCTTTCATCCAATGGTAGTGGGGTGAGGAGGGTGAAGAATAAGAAGAAAAAGAAGAAAGCCAGCCTAATTACAAAGATGCAGAGAGAAAGGGACCGCGATTGGAGAGAGGAAAAACTAGCTTTTCAACGAAAATAAAAAATCACGGGTCAGACACGGGTGTGAACAGGACTGCCCTCCTGGAGGTGAGTTGTGCCCCCAAATTTTCATTCAACCATTCATTTCCATCAGGGAGCAACCATGAATGTATCATTCGGTTCAGCATTCATTATGAATGTACAGTGAAAGCACATTCAAAACCTAGGCACCTCGTCCTGGATTCTTTTTGTGAAAGGAACATAGAACATGCCTGCATGTCTGAGTCTCCAAGAAGACAAAAAATCCAAAGCTACACCATTAACCCTTTAACCAACAGAAGATTTATTTTATTGTGATGAGGCAAATGGAAATAACTGGCCATTTAAAAATATAAATTGCAATATAAATTTACTACATGTAAGAAGATATATAATCAAATCAGGTGATTAATAATACAATATAGTACAGTGAAACCTCACTTATCAAGAATATGGTGTCGGCAATTTGCAACACTAAAGAAAAGCAGAAAGAAACCCCAAAGGCAGCTCAACACCAAAACAGCAGCTGATAAACCAGCCCAGGGGCCAACACCCCTCCCTCTTGGGGCGGTCCTGCTTATTTTAGACACTATCCCCAAAGCCCGAGTGTCTGGTTTATTAGCCTGTGACAATGGAGAGATGGATGATAGTGACATTTTCATAGTCTGGCAACACAAAGAAAACCATTATAAAGTCAGCCTTGAGATCAAGAAAGCCAGGAAGCCTAGGCCATTTACAGTGGGCTTTCCAGACTAGTGCAGTTTTTCTTTTTAAATCTATTAATTTAAAAGTGTATTGGTTTTCTATCATTATATTAACAATAAAATCAGTGTTTAAAATGACACAAATGTATTACCTCCCAGTGCTCTAGGTCAGAGGTCCAACATGGGTCACTGGAGATAAACTTCAGGGATAGGTATGGATACATATTTCTGGAGGCCCTGGGAAGAATCCCCCCACCTGGCTTTCACCCTCTTCTAGAGCATGGCTGAGGATGAGCTATAAGCTGAGTCCTGGGGAAGGTCCTTTTCCTCCTAGAAGGTTTTATTCTAGCAAGACAAGCAGAAAATCTAAAAGAAGCATTATAATGCTATGTGAATGTTTTAATGTGTATGAGATACAAAAACTATCCAGAGGTAAGCATGCTGAGCTTAGCCTGAAGATGTCAGGGGTGACTTCAGCGGAGTTTCGAGGAATTGCTAGTATCTTCCAGGGCAAGGAGGGGAAAACTCAGGAGGAGATGCTATGTTGGGAACCGTTCAAAACTCAGTGTTTCCCCAAATCCCACATAGATTGTTGGTTTAGAGAAAATGTTGGGAGGCCAAGCCACTAAAAGACTCTGACCAGGAAAAGTCCAAGAATAATGCCTACCTCCCTTGAGATGCATAGGGAGTCCTGCAGGGGCTTGAGAAGGTGATGCTGTCAGGTTTGCATTTTATGCTGGATATTTTTTTATTGTATTTTATTGATTATGCCATTACAGTTGTCCTATTCCCCCCTTCATTCCCCTCCAGCCTGCACACCCCCTCCCCCAACATTCCCCCCCTTTAGTTTATGTCCATGTGTCTCAAGTTCTTTAGATTCTATAATTTCCCTACTATTCTTGCCCTCCCCTATCTATTTTCTACCTACCATCTATGCTACTTATTCTCTGTACCTTCTCCCCCCTTCTCCTCCTCCCACTCCCCTGTTGCTAACCCTCCATGTGATCTTCATTTCTATGGTTCCACTCCTGATCTAGCTGTCCTCTTAGTTTGCTTTTGTTTTAGGTGTGGTTCTTAATAACTGTGAGCTTGCTGTCATTTTACTGTACATGTTTTTAATCTTATTTTTCTTAGATAAGTTCCTTTTACATTTTATATAATAAGGGCTTGGTGATGATGAACTCCTTGAATTTGACCTTATCTGAGAAGCACTTTATCTCCCCTTCCATTCTAAATGAAAGCTTTGCTGGATAGAGCAATCTTGGATGTAGGTCTTTGGCTTTCATGACTTGGAATACTTCTTTCCAGCCCCTTCTTGCCTGTAAGGTCTCTTTTGAGAAATCCGCTGACAGTCTGATGGGAACTCCTTTGTAGGTGACTGTCCCCTTAGCTCTTGCTGCTTCTAGGATTCTCTCCTTCATTTTAATCTTGGCTAATGTAATTATGGTGTGCCTTGGTGTGTTCCTTCTTGGCTCCAACTTCTTTGGAACTCTCTGAGCTTCCTGGATTTCCTGGAAGTCTATTTCCTTTGCCACATTGGGGAAGTTCTCCTTTATTATTTGTTCAAATAAGTGTTCCACTTGTGTCTGTTCCTCTTGCCCTTCTGGTACCCCTATAATTCAGATGTTGGAACGTTTAAAGATGTCCTGGGGGTTCCTAAGCCTCTTCTCTTTTTTTGAATTCTTGTTTCTTCATCCTTTTCTGTTTGGTCATTTTTTTCTTCCTTCTGGTCCACTCCCTTGATTTGAGTCCCAGTTTCCTTTCCATCACTATTGGTCTCCTGTGCATTTTGTTTTGTTTCAATTAGTGAAGCCTTCATTTGTTCCTCTAATTTGTGACTAAAATCAACCAGTTCTGTGAGCATCCTGATCACCAGTGTTCTGAACTGTGCATCTGATAGGTTGGCTATTTCTTGGTCACTTAGAGTTATTGGCTCTGGGGCTTTGAGTTCTTCTTGAGCCATAATGTTTTGGTCTGTTTGTGCCTGTTACATATGAGGGGCAGAGCCCTAGGTGTTCACCAGAGCAGGGCAACTCAGTTGCTGGGTTGTGACGCTGCATGTAGGGATGGGGTCAAAGAGGGGCAATAATGGTCCCCTCTGCTGCTTCCTGCCACTGGGGCCTGTGCAGTCTGTCTCACTGCTTGTTCCTTCTCCTGGTTTACCTGCACATGAATGTGTGACCACGGTCAGCCTGCAGCCTCGTGCCCTCACTGGGTCTGCCCGCTGCAACCCCGTTGCAACCCCACGCCTGGGATGCCGCCCACACCTGGGCGGTCCCACCCAGGCCCCACCCTTGGTCCCACCCAGTTTTCTTGCGCAACCCCACTCCTCCAGTCTCTGGCTCCACCCCTCTTACCGGTCTGGCTGAACAGTTTGTTGTTGTTGGACTTCTGTATAG